ACCTCCTTCCGCAGTGTTAAACTTTGCCCTTGAGGACTTTTACTTAACTTTTTAATTTGAAAAACAGATCCTAACTGCTTTACCACCTCCCCGTCTTGCGCTGAGTCAAAAGTCCCGTTGTTGCAGGAGGCACAGGGGTAGAAGAAACTCGAACAAGTTTTTGGGTGTTATTTTTTGTTCACGTGCACAGGCATCATGCGTACATTTTTCAGAGCCAGAGATAAGTTAGATCACACAGGAAGGCTGTTTTAAAGACCATTTTAATAAACAATGGGCCTGCTTCTGTCTTCGCGACCCAGGCAGACCTTGGTTACGTGCTTTCTGCTTTTCTCCCGTTAATATCCGAAACGGCAGCGTATTTCCCAGTCGTCCTCCCGAGACAAAGAACGTAGTTGTCAAAAGTTGCTTCAGAATTTTTTTGTATGCAAGTGTGCTGTCTTCAGACTAGCATAAGAAACAAATAGACTTGCTCTATCAAAGAAACGTAATTGCCATTTCAGACTTCCTGTTTAGGATTCAGTCAAGTAGATATTGTTTATGGTTCATAAAACCTTACTACTGTGAGGATTTGAGGATACTGGCAGTGTAGAGCTTCAACTTTCATGGTGCTGTAAATTAGAAAAAAAGGTGTGATAATACTCCTTCGAGAACAGTAAAATAGCTCTGCAATGGTTAAATGGAATTTTATAAGCACATTCGGTGTGGAACTGTTTTGCATTACATGAGTTGAATACCTTAGAGATGACACACATCTGCAGGCACTTTATTAAATCCTTAGTCAGCACTTTTCAACCTGATGAGATTACTTCTTCATTTGACTGGAGAAAGGAAAGCTAAGATCTTGTACTGGACTGCAGAATTCTTTTTGATGTTTCACCTTGAGCCCTGGAAAAGGACAGCGAGCTGCTCTGTAGGACAATACAGAATTGTAGTCATACAGATGACTACGTAGCAGTAGCTAGGACCTTTCAGTCCAGTGGATTCATTTAGCTCTGACCTCGTCGCTGCAGTAAGTTTTTAAGTCAATATAGATCAAAGCTAACTGTCCGCTTTTGGGGGCAAAAAGCCGAAAGAGAACTCCACCCTGCATTGCGTTGTGATAACCGATGCAATTTAAATGAAGACTGAGAATTACGAAACAGGACATGAAAGGATGAAAAAGCGTGAGGTAGCCAGAAAGCAGAGTAAAGCTTAAATGCAGTTGAGGAACCCAGGTTGACAGCAGCACGACATTCCCCAAATATAGAATTGGGTTTCTTTGTTTCACTAATCCAGCTATCAAAGCTGCATGTCCTGTTATGTACTTCATACGCCTTTTTATTTTCGACTTTGAGGTCTGCTTTCCCCTTGCAGTGGAAGTTTTGCAGGTGCATCAAAGGGACAATAGAACTCTTCAGACATAATCTGGGAAGATTTAGACACACACAAGGCTCATGGGAGAAGGGATTTTTATATTAAAATAATTAGTGGGAACCTAGGATCCTTCTGTACGTGTGCTTCAAGTGTCAGACATTCTAGAAAACAGTGATATCCTGAGAGCAGGGCTGGGATGCGAGGAATAAGGGCACTGTTTCAATCTCGTTATGTGCTGCCTCCGCACATAAAATATGTCATCAAAGTTGAGTTGCAAAAATAGCCCTTGCCATGCAGTTGTGTCTGTCGGGTATCTGGGTTTCTCAAAAGCAGCTTTTCAAGTGAGGTGAATTCGGACGTCCGAGGCACTGCAGATGAGTTTTTAAAAACACACGCAAGACATTTTGGTTCAATACTGAAGGGGTTAAGTTTTTTCATTGGTATTAAGACTGAACTGTGTCTGCAGGAGTGGTATTGACACCCTCGTGCATGGTAACTCTACTCCTTTATTGACATGTTGCTAGTCAAGAGCACAATAGCACTCTGTGTCTGCAAATCATTGCTAAAATCATCTCAAGAAAAAAAAAAGTTTGAAAGCCTAACGCTAGACAAAGGCACAAGAGCTGCACTGCGCAGCTAAAAACTCTGGAGTCAGCAACTTCTATTGATTAAAAACTAACCTTTAAAGTAACTCTCAGAGTGTGTGGTTAGCATTTAAATTTAAACATGTCATGAGTTGATTTGTGTTGCTGAATACCAACTCAGAAGGAGTTACATTCACATCAGATTTTTTTTTTTTTCTAATTCCCTTAAGCAGCTAAAGTATTTCATGAAGTGTCAATAGGGCAGGGGAGGGGGAAAAAAAGGTGTTTTGGAGTGGGAGAGGGGGCTTGGACCCAGCCTTGCAGTTTCTTTTCCCATGCAAATAGTCACCCCAAAAAGGAAAGTGTGGGGAGTGCAACACAATAATTAGACCTTTGTCTAACTTTCCCAAGTGCCAGAGAAAGACAGATTAATTAAATATACAACAGTGTTGGTTTTTGGAGTGGGGGTCTCTCTTGCTGTGTAGGTCATAAATTAGGCAGAATAAATACTTCAATGTGTTTGCAGTGGGCCTGCTACGTCAGAACCACTGGAAGGTTGGTGGGAGGAGAGCAGAGTGTTTCTTGCTAATGATAGTCACGTCTGGGTCTGTCTGGTTGCTCCTAGCAACCAGACATGATGTAACACCAGGATGAACTTGAACTTGGGGGACTTGAAAAGGGAACAATAGACCAGAGCAATCAATAAAGCCTATTTCAAGTGAAGGATTACAGAGCTGCTCTGGGGTAACCTTGTCTGCAAGGCACACACTGAATAGTAAGATGTGTGAAGAAACTTCTTGCTTTTTAAGAAGAGTGGAGAAGCACTGCAGGATTTTTTAGTAATGCAGTGAGTAGCAGGGAGCAACGGTGGTGTGGAAAAGTGCACCCCCTGCTGTCCAAAATGTTCATTTTGCATCATTAAAAGAAATACTGCACTCAACTGCACTGAAGGGAGATTAGGAGCCTCCAGCCTGTTTCCTTCCACTTCACAAATTAAAACTCCAGACCCATTAATCTGAGCAGATCTATTAAAATATGAGATGTCCAGGCCAAGAGTGGTCCAATAACGATGCCAGTTTAGCAGAGGCCTAGATGTGTTGCACGATTATTACTTTTTTAATTAGTGGAAGGTGCTGATATATGTTTGCCAGAGTCATTTGCTGTCTTGAGTTCTGTAAAGCAAGTGGTTAACAATAACACATCTGAGAGCACAGCAGTGCATTTCTAAGAAACCTGCTTTTGAGATCAAAGGATACTTGCAGGACCAGAAAATCTTAGACAGCTATCATTTAGGTGCTTATTCATGTGCTCAGGCAAGCCCTCCTGTTAGCTACTTGGACCTCCAGAATATGCACTTGAATAACCAAGTCTGAATTTTAACTCTTTCGCTCCCAGCGACGGACTATCATTCTGGTTAACGTTGCCCATCATGAAGGCTACCGCATTCTTATTTCAATAGTAAACTGTACACCGGATGTTCGAAGCGACTTGAAACTCGGGGTGAGAAGAATGGTGTTAGACACACAAATCCTGCTTCCCTTCCCCTTTTGAGTAACGCTGTCAAAACCGGGGAACTGATCACCAATGAGGAGCCCAGGAGTTGGCAACGCTTCCCAAACCCTGGAAGAACTGTCTCTGTTGATGATCTTTGCATATGAACGTTATTTCATTTAATTACAGCCAGTTTGAGTTTGAACCTGAAATATGCATACAGTAAAGGAAACAGATATGGGAGTAGAGTGTCTGTGCTCAAAAAGGTGGAGGAAGTAAGAGTAATGAAGTGAACGTAGTAAATTGGAAACTGGACAACATATTGTTCTCATACTGTGCTATTTGCCTTCTATAGCGCTGGCCTCTATAGGAGGATCATTTCATCTTGAAGTCTAGTCATGGAGCTTGCCTTAGAGTCCTTTATAAATATTAATAAATGATATTTCCATCGATAGGCTACAAATCATAGAAGATGCTGAAAAAGAATGGAGGAAAAAGTTAGAAAAAACTTGTAACTGGGGTATCTCCATGCAAAAAGGCACCGAATATACGACACGAGTTAATCTAAAAAATGGGGTTTCAGCAGCAAATCTTTATTACCCGAAGCTTTCTCATTATGCTGTTTCACCTGAAGCTATCAACACCGCTTGTTGGTTTAATTCCAAGAGAGCAACATGTCGGAGCCAAGTGGAATCCACATTCGGTTTATAAGCCGCAGGCCTGACACTGACCTCACCTATTTTAGAGCCTCGTTAGCTTTATTGGGCCTGATTCTGATCTGACGTCAATTTTCCTCCTGTGTAAATAGATGTGAGTATTGTTCTGAGATGATGTGCTCCTGATTTACACCAGTGCAAATAAGATTCCCATGCTGGTTTATTCTGGTCCTGTGGTGAAAAAAGATTGCTTTCTCTGTCTTGGGTTCTGGGTCACGTCATTTGCATTATACTATACTCCTTTGAAGGTCTAAAATCAGCTCCACTAAGTTTTTTCAAAGAAGGGCTTTTGCACCAAGTCCCTTTTTGCTATTAAAGTCAAGCATGTCCATAGACCTAGGACAGCTTTTTCACTGATCTCGTTCCCCTTATTTTTGCTTTATCCTTGTTCCTTTTAGCAGTCTACATTTCTCCTAGGAAACCACCCATGTTACTGAATTTTCACATGTCTATTCTAGTGAGACGGTTGAAGCAGAGTGCTATAAAGCAACAGATGCTTACACTGGCACTTGTTTAAATCCCCAAGAAAACCCCAATTGCATGGTGATAAATGCATGGAAACCCATGTGTGATTCACTGAGGGGGAATGTTAGAGGCAGATGATAAAAGTGAACGCGCTCTATCTCCATTGAAACAATAGATAAGTTGTAACACAGCAGCACAGTTACGTTGATCTCAATAATGACCTGAGGTTGTTAGTGAAAAAAGAATGATTTTAGTGGTATTATTTGCAGTTAACTCAGTTCGTCAGCCCCTGAAACTTCCCCTCCGCTTTGAATACGAGGATTGCAGCAACGTTCACAGCCCGTTCCAAAATATCACTCGTTTATAATAAGCTCTTCTCTTTGTTTTGCAGTCCTGGTACCTGGGATAAAAGTCGCAGCTTCCCACCACCCACCGGACAGACCACCTGACCCCTTCCCAACTCTGTAACATGGAAGCAGCAGCAACACAGCGCAGTTACTTCACGTCAATGGAAGGGGAGACAAACAGATATCAACAGCAAACAACTAGTACATGGAAAAGGCAAACGTTATGGTTGAATAGCAAAGGCCATAACTTTTTTGAGATTTTTTTAGACACCTTAGGGACTGTTGTAATTTCTCATATGGTGCTGGAAATGGTTGGGCTTCATAATTTTTGAAGTGTTTCATTGGTAGTGTAAGCATTTGGTGACACTGGGTAGTACTAGCCTCTGCTGCTGCTTACCGACTCGCTGTTGTAACACACTTTCCATATGGAGCCTAACTGTTTTACAGTATTTTCATCAATTTTTTTCCCATGCAGGTGTGAGACTTCTTGAAAAATCATGAAACACACTTAAACTATAACTTTTGTAGTAGCTGAATTCTGCAATATATAACTTACAGGACAGACATAGAGCATGTTTTTCTGTAACATATCGGGAAAAAATTTGCAAGTTTGTTTTTTTTGTTCGTTTGTTTTTTTACAGTCAGCACTTAGATACATAACAAAAATCATAAGAACATTTTCAACAGGTTTTTTTCCACTTGATTGCAGAGTGATTTAAAACATCAAACTACTACTATACACTAAAAGAAAAAGAAAAAAGTTTGAAATGCTGCACTTACATTAAAAAAAAACATTTTTCAACAATTTTCAACAATTACACAAAAATTCACACAGAAATGGGGAAGTTGGTCTGTTTTGACAGAAACTGACAGGAATCAATCAAAACAATCGAATTTTGAATTGAGTAAAGTGCAATTTCATTGGATAGCTAAATATCTTTGTAAGATAGAGATTGTTGAAAATTCTATTTTTGTTTTCCAAGTCCTTCCACCCCAGGACTCTAAATTATTGGGGTAAAAAACAGCCTTGCAAGAAAAAGGGGAGCTATTTTTGCTTTTTATGTTTTTTATTGTTGAACTTGTATCCCTTTAAAACTGAAGGAAAAGTTAAAAAAATACAAATCTAATGGTGCTTTTACCACAATATGTTAACTACATTAAATGCTAATTAATCATTTTCTGTTATCAAAGCACATAACTAAAATTAAATCATAATATCTGTTAATTTTATAAGCTAAAAGTCACTATAATGAATTATGCCAATTCTGACAAATTTTACGTGTTTCCGGCAATATAGGGTTTATCAGTTCTCAAACACCTTGGGATTAATAGAGAGCAGTCCAGAAATTAAAACACCTTTGTGTCCCTGAACTGGTACATTTTCTGGACTACAAAGAAAACAATACTGAACGAATGCTGATACTACAACTTATGCCAGTTCAAAGCAAGGGCACTTGCTGAAAAAAAAATAAAAAAGTTTGGACCCCGTACGTCCTGTATCTTATGTACAAAAAAAAAAGAAAAAAAGAAAAAAAAAAAGAAAAAAAGAAAAAAAAAAAGAAAAAAAGAAAAAAAAAAAGAAAAAAAGAAAAAAAAAAAGAAAAAAAGAAAAAAAAAAAGAAAAAAAGAAAAAAAAAAAGAAAAAAAGAGTGCAAGTGATTTTTTTCTATCAGACAGCGGAGCGCCCCTTTGCTTCACATGCAACTTTAAGAAGGTTTCCTATACTATACATATATATACGTTCTGGTTGGCAAGTTCAGCTAATCAGAGAAAGTCTCTGCATGTTCTAGTGTTAGTAACTAATTTTTATATAGTTAATGTAGGGTAAAGTAGAGTGCATTAAGACACAATATTGTAATCCCTATTCCAGGCACTTGCCTTTAAACTATGTTTGTTCAGCCCTTCAGAAGGGTCTCTACTACTGTCCTATACAATCAAGTAACTGAAATTCTTGGGAAGACACTTTGCTCCTCATCTTTTCCCTGAAACAATTTTTTTTTTCTTAATTTGCACGAAACAAAAAAAAAAATTCCATATCAATGTGCCTTGCCCTGGATAGCGATTATTTGTGGAATTGTTGCACATGTTCCTATATTGAAGGGGGTTTTTCCCTAGTCAAGCATTCGGAGACACTTTTTGTAAATGTGACTTTTATGTCAGCCATCGTCAGTTTCAACATCTAGAATTAAATAGAATGTTAGTTGTTCCGCAGATATGAGTAGTGTTTATTGTCCTGTACGGTCAGTGGCAGTGCTATTCTGAGATCTGTAGATGCTAGATTATCAGTATTTTTGGATGTTGCTGCATTTTACATTTTATTTGGAGTCTTCCTTTTGTTTTGTTTTTCCCAGATATATGAAAATATGCAATACCTGCTTATATCATGTAGACGAGCTTAGCAATTATTAATTTTTCTTTTGATTTTTTTTTTTATTTGACCAAAGTTGGTGCTGCACTTGACGCAGTGTGTTTTAGGTGTTTGTCTTTGTACTTTTGTGATTTTGAATGCACATGCGGGAAGGGCTCTTCTTAGAGAAGCAGTCAAACTGTGAAGCACTAAGCTGAACCCTGCTTCAAGCAATTTTTGTTTTACAACTGTTCCTTTCACAAGCAAGCCTTAAAAAAAAAAAAACCTTCCTTTTTCTTCAGATCCCACACCCATTTTTATTAGCAGACTGCAATCAATCCACATTCAATAAAAGTATATAATGCCCATTTTTATATGCACGTTTTTAAACTTCCAAGTTCTGAAAATTGTTTACTGGTTATTCTCTATTTAAGGAAAAAATAAAATGTTTTGGATTTTCATATGTGTCTGATAAGTGGTTGAGTAGTCATTTTGCTCTATTGTATTGTGTGATTGTTAGTATATGGTATCACATCCTCTAGCCAGCATCCTTTGCCTTCCCTATAGCACTTAGCTGGGCATTACTTTATTAAGACATATGTGCACTAAAAAAAATAGCAGCTTTCAGTGCTTCACAGTGAAGGGAAAAAAGCCTAGACAAACATTTTGTCAGAACCTTGCTATAAGCCAAGGTATTACCAGTAAATTGGTTGTATATACAATAAAATTGCACCCTTTTTTAAACAAAACAAACTAAGCAATAGTTTGGGCAGTTAGTTGTTTTTAGTGAGCATGTTGTAGTCATGGCTGCAAGAGAGAGAATTAAACTGCCCACTCAGAAGATATGTAATTTGTATGTTGTATAGTTTTATTGATTACACTGATTTATTCTACCCTATTTTATAATGCAGGACTTTTGTAATGTTGTTTAAATGAGGAAAAATTTCTGTCAAATTAGCTTAGGTGAATTTCTGATTGTTCGTTATAAAGGCAGCGTTCATAGAATTGCTTTTTTTTTCCTTTGGGAACTGGATTTAAGTTAAAAACTTTCCTGTTTCCTTTTTGTATGTATTTAAATACAGTTATTTTTCTTCTCTCAATGGTATAGCATATTCCTATGCTTGAGAAGTATAGGCTACTGAAGAACCATTGTAAATGGACATTACAGGTATGCTGTATTTTTTGAAGGTATTTTGTCGTATTAAGTTTGATGACGCTAAAGTTAGGGAATTCTGAGCAGAATTGCAGAAAAAAAATGTTTTAAAGGCTTTAAAACATTAGGTAGGCGGTCAAGGGTGTTAACCAACAGTGGTTGTAAAGTATTAAACACACTAAATTAAATTTTTGTTCACCTTATTATCATGCAGAAAACACAGCAGTTTGGTTCTGGTCAGGTATTGAGAACAAAACAGTGTTTTATTCCTCAAAGTAAAGCAAAAGAACGGAGATCTGAGCAAGACAGCTGCTTGGGGTGTGCAGTCTACAATAAAGAGAACAGGCAGGATTCAGGCGAACAATCTTAGTCCTTGAGTCAGAATTGCATTGTGTTCCCTTCTTCAAATTGTTTGATCAATTTTTTTAAAAGAATCACTTGAACAAGTCCCGTTCCCTGCTCCTCCCTCCCCACACCCCCAAAATCTGTTTCTGGAACAATTTTTGTCAGATGCACAAACACTGACCTGTATTCACTCACCCACCCGACTTCCAAGATTTAAAAAGTGCTTATCACAAATTGACTCTACCAGTTAATTGCTGTCTTTTCCCCTTTTCAAACTTGGTTTTGTCATGCCGTGCACCCCAGTAAGGTCATTATTTATTCCTCTTCCTTTAGAATAAAACTTACGGACTAAAGTTAGGCAGCCATGGTACACTTTGTCTCTTATTTCTCCCTCCCCCACCTTAAAATTGAAGGGTAAAGGAAACGCAAACTTTCCACAACTCCACAGTATTTTGTCGGCCCACAGGAATATGCAAAATCCCTCTAACGTTTTATTTTCTTTCACTGTTTCTTTTTGTTCCATATATTTTGCAGCTTTGTAGTAACAGTGTTATAAAATTAACTGTACAAAAAATACAAAGAAACCAGATACATAACCTAAAACAGATTTTTTTTCCCCTTGTGGTGATCTTTTTTTTTTCTTTTTTTTTCTTTTTTTTTTTTAAAATGTCAGTTAATATTGTACTTTGCATTGTGTCTCTGGAAATATCTTTCTTTCTTTTTTTTTCTGTAGAAGGCCTCCATCGAACAAAAGTAAAACTATAACCGGCATGATAATGTAAGGAGAGCTTCAATGGCACCTAAAAAAATTTAAATAAACCTCATGAGGTCTCTTGGAGGAAGGTCTCATGAAGTGAACACTGCCTGCCTGCTAGGCAGGATTTTCATTAAATCAAGCTTACAATGCCAATTTTGTCTTGAAGTCAATGCATGTATTACTGTTTGACAGTAAACCCGGCTATGCCATCATCAAGTCCAAGGCTGTGCAATAGTCTAATTAGTATCGAGTACATTTTCCTTTTATTTTTTCCAATAAAAAAGCAGTGGGATGAAAATTGCTTTGATATATAGCAGGTAACATTGAAGCTATTCCATAGCACTTAACTGTAGTGAATACTGTGTCACCAATTCTGAAATCAATTTAATGTTTAATGCAAATCCATTACATGGTGCTATTACAGGCTGGCAAAATGATTTACAAAAATGTGACAACTTGGGCTCAATTCACTCTGCTTTCCAACAATGTAAATGCATAGCAGTGTTTATCTGCATGAGAACTATGCACTAATCTATCTGAAAAAAAATATATCAACTTTGGTATCTACTTTCCGTTTACTTCAATCCTTGCCTTTTTGGTCATTGTTATAATGCCAGCTTTAGGACAGAAAGAATTATAAGAAAACCAGCATAATACCTGATATATTAAAATGTAGTGCCTGTGAAATCTGTATTATATTGCTCTTCTGAAGTAAGATTTTTCTACACCGGTAGCCTTCGCTGTCTGTCAGAACCTTCTGATATAGGTGATGTAAAATAACCGTACAATATTAATGCATGCTATTCCATAATGCTTAGTGAGCTGTATGAATATTACTCAAAGTTATGTTAGTCTTTTTTTCTGACTTGGTTCTTGTCAGATAGGTTTAAAGATATTTCACTGAGAACGCAAATTCTGTCTTTTCTTGATTTGGGGAGTTTTCAGTATTTTGGAGGTATACATTTACTTAAATTCAGTATTACTTGTGTTAGGGTTTTTTTCTTTTTTTTTTCTTTTTTCTTCCTTTTTTTTTTCTTTTTTCCTGGAAGGCAGGACATGGTGTTTGAGACCAGAAATCCGTGCCTGGTAACATTTTTGTCTTGAAAGCTACCATAAGAATTCCAAGAGCTTTCTATGAAGAACGTATGCATAAATTGAAGGGACAAGTCTAACGCCCATAAGTGACATTGAACTTGTGTTGCAAGAGATTTCTTAATGGGCAGCGTTTAACCAGGTACCCGTGCTTGACCCTTCTTCACACCAGACCTCCTCATATAAAAAGAAAAACCCTTAAAAAAAAAAAAAAAAAAAAAAGAAAGAAAAAAAAAAGAAAACCTCATGTGGTTGTTTAGTTTCATGCACAGTTGCAATATTTTTCTTCAAACAGAACTGTACAAACTTTGGGCCCGATTCATAAAAGGCCATTTGCTATTAACACGGGATTTTGGTGGGCAGTTCTCATCCAAATTTGAGGTCGCTTTCTGTCCAGAAAGGTGTTTTAGCAAGTCCTTCTCCCTGAGCACAAGCACCCGCCTGCCTTTTATGCCCTCAACCCAAGGATTACATAACCTTGCAATAGGAGCAGAATCAAGCAGAGAAAAAAACCAGGGTGGGGAGGAGAGAGGAAACAGAACACCATGTTCTGACACTTGAAATACAGTTGAGTTTTAAGAGGAAAGCAGAATGTATAGGAGAGACCTATCCTATACTGTACTCTGGCCATTACATGGGTTTTTACATTAATGTACAACGCTACTTGACTACAGAAGAAATTAGTCTGTACCATAGCAAAACATCCTATAGCAAAATATGCTAGATGTGCTACCTCTGATCTCCACAGAAAAGGAAGACACTTGTATACAATGTGAACTTTTGTACTTTCTACAGTGTTTTTTTAAGGAAGACTATTTTCCACTTAGTTAATC